ATGGGTGCTGGCAGGTTTCACTAAAATCGGGGAGCAAGTTGTGCTCCTTCCTCGGAGGAGAGAAGCGCCGTGCACGTCCCTGCCTGGCAGGCTGTGAAGTGAAAGCCTTATCTCTGAAAGCACACATACTCCAGGGAGTCTGCTGTGGAAAATCCCTCCATCAAACAAATCCCTAGGAGTTTCCAAGGAGTCCCAAATCTCTCTGGTCTGTCAGAAATTGATGCTTAGCTATTGCTAAGGCTTTTCTAGAAGGATGCAGAGAGCCAGCTGTATGACTTTGGCAACAATCAGTGAACCACCACAAAAGGTTGTCTTTTTATAATGGAGTTAATTTATAAGAGTATTGTCACTGCTACTCTCTTCCAAAAGCTCAGTTTGCTACAGTGGCTCAAACTCAGACCAAAAATAAAAAAAGAAAAAGAGCACGTAAATGTATATCATGTGACGAACTCACCCATCACATGAAACCTCCCTCCACATGACAAGCTGTCTGAGACATCCTGCTATGTATACACAATAAAAACTGTGGGAAACTGGGACTCAGAAGTGCTTACTTAGTTTACAAAGTTGGAAACTTTGTCTTTATTCAGCTGAGGTTTTACACAGACTAATGTACTCTCAGCTCCAGACACAGACTTGCACATATTCCTCTGTATAAATTCCTACAAGCTCCAATTACCATATGTAACTACACGTGTTGGAATAACCAAAGCAAATTTTTCACAGAGTACAGCTACTGTGTGCTACAGTGAGTAAAACTAGAGTCTTACAATCAAGAAATACCAGATCTGCATAGCCAGACAGGAAAATAATCTTCACAAAATATTAGTTCATAAACTTGGGTAAAAAAAAAAAAAAATTGTTGTCATGCAGGACATGGGACCCAGGTGAGGGATACAGGCAAGCAGCAGTGCAGATTGCTGGGAAATTCTAATTAAAAGTATATTTTGACCCCAGAAAAGCAAATAAAAATATATTACTTTCTAAGAGAAAACAAGCTCTCTGTTCTCCTGTACTTTTTACCAGCAAGTATTGGATTTAGCAATAAACATATATATGTTCAGACCCCACACTATGAAGAACATTACCAAACATTTATAATGTCATTTATAATATCGTATTATAACCATATTATTTATTATAATATCATATGACTGACCTAAAACTTCCTGCCAATCCCATTATACATTACAGGAATCCACAAAGCTGCAACTTAAAGGTAGTGGTCCAAAACCTACTGTCACTGATTTCTGAATCTGCTTGTAGCAGCTACACTGACAAAGCCTGACACAGCACTGCCCCACATTCCAATGGACAACTCAAGCCTCCCTCACTTAGTTTGTCCCTGAGGCCCCTATAAAACAGCAGCTACTACTGAAAAACTTGAAATCCATATACAGAGACCACCAAAAATCACTGTGTCCCCCTGAAATCAGTGTTTTCCTTAGATTTTCAAGAAAAGCAAGGCTTCTAGCCACAATCTTCAGATTCATATGGAAAAACCACTTAGAATTTCATTAGAGAAAGTAAAGCATAAGACCTTTAAAATTTGTTATAAACTAATCCTTAGGAATATATAATTTACTGCAATTCTAAAATAATTTCTGTAAAATTCCATACAATTAGAAAGCGAGCATCCGTTCTAAATAACTTTTTAATTGCCATATAGAATTGGAGAAGCAGAAAATCTTTTCTTGTTCATTTTTATAGCCTGGTAGGTAATTCATGTAGAAAGATTATCAAATTCTATTAAATGCCACAGCGCTTTTTCATGCAGGAGTATTACTCTTTTCTCCCTGTGATCCTGTCTCATTTGAGGAGGGGAACGTGTTCTGCAGCCAAGTCTCCATTATTTGCTTTGGACACTCAATTTTGCAGCTGAGCCCATAAGGTTTCTCCATATAATTATAAAGCATGTCTGACTGCTTCAGTGGTGGGTGGACAATTACAGATGTCAAAACTTTTCTTCCAGATAATAACAAAACTGCAAGGATAGCAAACCTGCTATATGAACCTCCAAATTAAATACCCAACATCATATCAATTCTTCATCTGAAACACCCTGCTGGGCAGCACACATGGAAATTACCTTATTTGAAAGAAAGAGCTGTTAGGCAGGGTAAATATTAGCACTATCTGGCATGAAAATCTTGCTTTGGCATAAGTTACAGGTCAGGAAAGAATAAACAATGACAGAAGAAAACCTCCCAGCTGAATACATTATGCTAGTTAAAGAAAGTAAAAGGTGAAAACTCCTTCCAAGATCTTTTGTTTTTTAGACATCTTGTGAATTACCTGAATCAGGTTCCATTTCAGCCATTCATTCAAGTATTATCTTAAGTATAATTTAAAAAGCATTAACATCACTCAAAGTATAGTTTTATTTCAGATATGCACCACCAAACTAAAGACTCCCAACATACTCAAATGCTCCTGAGGTTGCTTGCCTGAAGTCCTCCCCATTAACTTACAGTCAGCTCTTCCAAAATTTAATCTTTCTATTAGAGCAATAATAGTTCTGTAAACAAAAAGCATTCTATGATTGTTTCTGTATGTATCAAGATGTGTTTGGCACTGCAGTCTGCAAAAGAGAATTTCCTGTTTACAAGCTCATTTTCTGTCCTGAATTTGAATGCATATTTGAGCAAAACCCTTCCACACGACTCCTCATCTTATTTCATATGAGAAAATATTTTGATGAGCATTTTTGCTTTAAGTTAGCCATAATTATTGCAACAGTTTGACCTCTTCTTTTCTTACAAAAAAAAAAGAAACAAAAGTATTGACAAATTAACAACAAAATATGGATATTACAACATAATATATGAATCTAAACAACTTTATAGATCTGAGAAGTCCTGTTTGGTTCAATGAGACAGCTCTACCACATTGCTGGCCACGTTTAAATGCAGCCAAAGCCTTTGTTTGTCAGGTTTTTCTCAACAGCTGTTAAGCATCACTCTCATAAGTCTGACTTTTTGTTATACTTATAATAATCCATACATTATTTTAGACAAAAGACTCATGGAATTATGCAGAGACATTAATTTACCTTATTTTCCCATTTCAAGATATCAAAAAAGAGGGGGTTTTTTTCCCTTTTTGTTTCCCATCTCCTCATGAAGAACATGCATTAGTTATGCTCTCACTACAGAATCATACAAGTTCCAAGTTAATATGTGTTACATTCATGAACATGAGTATTTGCGCTGTGCAGAAATGAAGCCAAAGAAACCAGGATAGAAATGAGGCTGAAATAAAGAAATACAAGGTGAGGAGTATGATTGTGCTGTCCAGGTAGCTGTTAAAACACTGACCTGGAGCTGTTCCTGAGAGCCATGGCAGAACCTGGGCCCCACATGATCAACCCAGGCTGCTGGCTAAGTCTGCCCAAATTCCCATCTCATTTTCCTGAAACAAGTCTAACTTTGCTGCCTTAAACTGAATAATTTCTGACTTACAGTAGAATAAGGATTTATCATCAGGTTTAAAAGAACATTTGGATGTAAACCAGCCTCAAGGCAATCACATAACCCTTGGTCCCTGGTAACCCTTCTCAGCATCATGATAGAACCCAAAAGTGCTTCATACATTATTCAGGTCCAAAGTCAGCAGAAATTCAGAGAAATGTATTTACTTACTTGGATATTATATCAACCAAAAGAGCTGGCAGGTACAGAGCTTGTTATTTTGTCAGTTACAAATTTCTGGTCTTAGAAACCTGTTTCATACCATTAATTTGCCAAATGGTGGTAACCTCTATTTAATATTCATATTCTAAAGCATAGAAAAGCCTCAAATGTTTTGCAGAAAACAGCCACTGAATTAATGCCTCAACCAAGTCATTTTCTATAAGAAAGGGGGTTTGGACAGACTTTCTATAGTGCTTTTTATAATAGTTTCCCTTTACTCAAAAAAGCAAACAATTTTTCTTTGTGCAAAATAATAAACCCGGTGGGGTGAGACTGCTCAAAGACCAGTAAAGCCAATCACAGCACAGTAGGGCAGAACCACTCAGGTCTGTTAGAGCCTGATTGACTTTTCTTTCTTCTTCATTTCTATGACTGGATCTAAGGTTTGCTGTCCCCCTGATTATAAAACACTCAGTCACAAGATAAATGTCATCAATAGATTTGAACTTGCTCCACAGGATCCATAACTCCACTTAGAAATACTTAAAAGATTTGAAAATTGAAATGTGGTGAAAAGCCATGTAACAACATAGCTCCAGGCTGGACCAGTTGCTCAATATTTAGGGAGTAAAATCCCTAATATTTTAAATTAATTATTCAACAATGCTGGATCTCCATTAGATCATGCACATCTCATCCCTCTGTACCCTTACGTGGGGTGTGCTGGGATTAATCTGCTATGGGAAGCACAGTTTAAATACATATGGAGGAAAGCAGAGCCACAGCCTGGGAATGGCAGGCAGAGCAAGCCAAAATAAAATCTTTTCAAATGCACACGTTTGGCAATCAGGTCGCACACGAACATTGTCAGGTGCAATTTCTTTTGCTTTGCAAGTACCTTGGTAACTAGAGCAAAACCTCATGAGCATCTCAGCTCAGGAAGTAGAGGTGTGAGAACTGAGCTAATCCTCTGCTAACAGAGGCACAGAGGACACAGCAAAAAGGGGAACCTTTGGCAGTTCCTCTCCATCACTTTAATTGCACCAACATAAACTGAGCATCTTCACCACTTCTCTGTGGACATTTGCACAGCTACAGACCATCAGTGTCTGACAACTGCCATGCTTCATACAAAGTCAAGCAGGTCAAAGCTTAGCTTACATGAAATCAATCAGGATTTATGAAATAGAAATGAAACTGTCACCCCTCAAAGGGCTGATCTAACAGATACACTTCATTTGTAAATATTAAAGTAATGTATCTAGTCCAGAGGATAAAGCTTCTTGCAAAATAGAGCTGCAACAACTGCTTTGCTTTAGGTGGTTAAGCTGTGCTTTCATGCAAGAAGGAAATTGTCAGGGCACTTACCCTCTGTGTGGGAGACCCAAGTCGTTTTCTTTTACATCTGCCTCCACCCATGAGAATGAACCATCTCCCAGACTGCACAAAGGAAATTCTTCAGCCTTTCAGTTGAATCACTGCTCTGTTTTCCTGTAAAATATAAGTCTCAGTGATACAGAAAAGAAAAAAAGAAGCATGCAAGAAATCATGCTTCTGAAGTCTAGTAGTTATGTCACTTACTAAGAAAAAGACAGTCTTGGTTCTAGTCCCAAGACTATGCCTGTAATCCCCATCATGGCATAAAACATATGAACACAACCTCAGACCTTCCATCCCTTCTTCTTGAAAAGAAAACAAATTTTTCTGTTCAGTTATTTAAAATAAAAGGTATTTTCAGAAATACTCAGTGGATATGCACCCACACAAGTCACTTTCCTCCTGAGCAAAGTGCCTAAATCCCATAAAATTATTAGAGCTGGACACAACCTCCTGTATTTTTGTCTTCTGCAACTCTTATTAACTATCTTGAAGCATCTCCTCACTCAGCACATCCCCCTTCTGAGATACCTTCACTGCACACTTCCTCTAGGATGCCAAGGCATACGGAACATTTGCACTCTGGATTCCAATATGCAACCAGGTGCTCAAAGGTTAAAATCAAATGCCTGCTACGTTTTGCACCCTCCAGAAAATAAAACCAATATGCACATTTTTAGCAGCCAGGGTCTGGAAGCAAGCTCTCCTCTAGATTTCCATCTTTTTCCCTGCAGTTTCCCTCCTCTTCCAGTCTGTCCTCCCAGTATTTTATCAGATGAGCAAGCAGTAGGTGCTCATCACTGGAGCTGTGCTGATAAGCCAGGATATACTTACCTTGTGACTGCTTCCATCATGAGAAGCCAGGGTTTCCTGCCTTCTGCTGGTAGAAGAATCCTTTGGGAGTCCACATCCTCACTAATTACTGCCTTTTTTCACCATATATCCAGAAATTTAAAATTTCTAAACCGTGAACTCTTGCCAAACGTAACTGAGTTCACCAGCAGATTTCTAAGATTATTTGCAAATCAAAATCTTTGTCCACGTGTACATTTACATGCTATTTTTGACAATAGCACATAAATGTACACGTGGACAAAGATTTTGACTTCTAAACAATCAGGCTTAATGAGGAGATGCCGCTGGGGCAGAGAAACAGAGGAATAGGAATTACGAAAATAATTGGCTATTTCTAAAGATGAGATTCACCCATCATGGACACTGCAAGCCTTTTGAGCACATGCTCAAGAAACCACCAGTTCAGCAGCCAGAGACTGTGTGTGTGAGCAAACAGGGCTGGGGAGTGGGTCCAAGGCCTGGCACATCCTCCAGGATGCTCAAATCTCAGCAGGACCCCACTTTGGGCTGAGCACTCTGCAGGACAGGGCTGTGAGGACAGGTGGGACCCCAAACAAGGAACACTTTCCAGGGGTACATTGGATGCAGTCCCTCCCTTTGGTGATTTTGCTGTGCTGGTGCAAGCTAGCCTGGGCCAGTTGGCCTCAGGAGCAGAAACAAATCCTGTAGAAGTAGCCAGAGAAACTGGAACAACATCATGCGTTAATGTTGGCCCAGCTTATTGTTCATGAAGGGAGGGTGGATAAGTAGGGGAGTGTAGCTCTGTCCACAACTGGAGCCCTTTGGCTCTCCCCACACCAGCAGCTCTGAGCCTGCATTGCTGTGAGGACATTCCCAGTTCCAGGAACTCAGTGTTCCCAGATCCTGAGCTGATGTGCTCATGGGAAAATGTTCAAAATATCCCTCACAGAGAGTGATCTCATGTTTTTCCATAAATGCTCTTTTCTTTTTCAATCCTTCTGTGAAAAACTGAGATTCAAAAACTTGAAAGCAACATTGACAGGTCCCATCAACAGCATTTGCTGCTGCCCATAGGGGTTAAATCAGTGCTCAGTGACCTCAGTCACAAACTGGAAGACAGGAGTAGTAACAGGAATTAGTCAGAAATCCTTAGCCCTGGACTTGAACCTTCTTCCCCCATATTAGCGCTGTTGGCAAAATATAGATACAGAAACACACATGCAAACAAAAATTTGCATAAATATCAATGCCCATATAGAGACATCTATTAACACATTTACACAATAGTTGTATTTGTGTCTAACCAATTTCTTAAACACATGCTGAGTATAAATATCTAATGACATAAGAGTATTCCTGTAAGTTTGTTTAGACACACACTCATATGCACACACACAATACAAATAACATACATTAAATACTGGTTAGGGAGCAGCTCATGACATACATCCTGAAATATTTTGGCAAAGGTACTCTGAAGGATGGAACTGGAAGTGTGATCTGCTAGAACAGGCCCACAAGTGCTGGCCTGACCTCCTGTTTCCCTGTGCTAGCCTGTATCACACACATGTATGTACACACACAGAAACTCCCACCAACGCCAATATGAGCTTTGATGCAGAAGCAGCCCTTTACAAGCATTTCAGCAAAAAGAGAGCAAGATTTGGGTCATTTTGGTGAGTGACAGAATAACCATTCTAGCAAACAGGAAGAATTTTACGCTAATTCTTCTTTCATTTTTATAAATAAAAAATTTCCCAGACTAAAAAGCAGAACATAGAGTTAGGTAATCACATTCTCCAGCCCTCAGTCACATATTCAGAAGTGAAAAGGCTTGAAAAGAATGCACCGTATTTCAAGACTTTGACAGTATTTTTTTTTAAAGCTGACCTTTTCTTTAGGCTTCTATTTCCAGATAGACTGGAAATATGCTTCCAGATAGTATTTCCAATATACTTCATGTTTTAAAGCAATAAATTCAGGAGCATATTGCTTTCCTGGAAGTTTCTGTCTCTTAATTTTACCTACCCTGGTACCAGGTCAGCATTGGAAATGCTTCCCCCTTTCCTTTGGTCACGCACAGTTTGGTACCCAGTAGCACACTTGCTACAAGGACACTGAAACCAATTCCCTTCCCTTCAGGTAAAAGTCTAGCTTTAAAATTTAGATCCACTGCTCTAAGGTATCATCTTCTCTCTTCATACACCCTGGATTCCAGTTGTCATACTCACAGCAGTGTTGGTATTAAAAGCCTTAACATTAATGTCAGTGATAGCATTAACCATTAATATTAAGATTAAAACCTCTGGCTTCATTCTTACTGAGCCCACCATGCTGCTATTTTAGCAGCAAGATTTTTAATTCTCAGTTATACACAGTTCTACTGACTATTAGCCTAAAAGGCAATACCTTTCCAAGTGTCCTCTTATTTAATTATCATTGACTGATAACAGCAGAGAGCCTTTCCTGCAACTACTTTCCCACAAAATGCAGCCCAGACACTTTATCAAGAAACTCTTCAGTCACTGATGATGATTTTTCCAAGATGGGTAAAACTTCCCATTTTCTCAAAGTCTGTGTTTACTAACCTTTGACATATGCTCTGAATGCTTTTTTTCAGTCCCTAAAACAAGGCAATAAGCTAAAAAGTAAAATTCCTCAGGGTATTAGCCAGTTTAAAAGTATGGCAGTGTGATCATACACATGCAACATATAGAAAAATAAATGGTGCTATATTTCTCTTAAAAATAAATTTTAAAAGGATATAGAACCTCACTACCATTTTGAATTAAACCTCATGATAGCTGAGTCTATAGAATTTTGTTTTCTGACAAGCTGAGCATTTTTATTTGAGACTTTTAATCAGAAATTTGTAAAGCTGGGGGAAAAGCAGCTGGGTATTTCAGAAAGGGAAGGAGAAAGCTCATAAATTAACCAGTTGGCACAACCCTAACTATAGTATCACGAACAGTGCTGTTATAATATTATTGCTGTAGGTTAATGTGATCCTTTATACAGCCTTTTTTTCCTCCACAGTAGACCATTTTCAAGAAGTAAAATGGTTTCATTTGAATTGCAAATCCCAACACATATATAGTTTGATTCTTTTGGAGCAGGATGAGTGACAGTGGTATATTAGAGTTAACAAACCTTACCCACTTTTAAATACATTTCTGGTATTGAAAGCTAACAGAGCTGAAATCTGAATGGGTAAAGGCTCTGCTCTGGCATTCATTCCTTTATTGGAGCCTTGAAAGGACCGTATGGAGGGAACCTGATAGAAATTTCGTGTTGCTGCTAAATAGAACTCAGTCCAAGGTAGAAAAATAAAAGCTTAGCTCTGTCGTCTTTTATAACATTTCATTCCTGGGGGCCACTGCTTTCAAAACTGAAACTAGGGGCTGTGCAGCTTCTTTGATTCAACTGGTCCCTCAGCTTAATGGACTACAGGCCTTGCAAAATTGCTGAATTCAGCCTTTTGAAAGATTCGGTGCTTCCTGTACAGAAATCCATTAGCGCGTGTGGTAGCAACAGAAGATTTAAAAAAAAAAAAAAAAGAAAAAAAAAGGAAGCTTCATGAAAATGTGCAGTGGGAAGTAGATAATAAACTCCTTCCAACAGTCCTCACTTGGGAAGCTGCTGTTTTTAGGTCCAGTATGGAAGTTTAACCTGCACATTGCCATTAGCAACAACCAAAGACACACAGACACAGAGCTGCCAAACAACATGAATCTGACAGAGCCATGTCAGACTGAATTCATTTGTTACTCTTAACTTCTAGAAAATTCTAGATCCCAAAGGGATATACAAGCATAATTTTATAGGAGGAAGAAATCAAATTTGTAATAGGAGAAATAGGACCCAGCCAAAGCTGTGCTCAAGTGCTCTATCAGAAATACCTGTCCAAGCAGGAATTCAAGGCAGAATTCTTGAGTATCACCCTCTATGGGCTTCCAAAACTTAAGGAAAAAATTAGCAGTAAGACATTTGCACAAATAACACAAATATTCTTCTTGTAACCAAGCTACCCATCTGTTGAAAGCATCGAGAAGCAGAGCACTCACTCCACAGCACGGGCACAGACTCTAATGCAATGTGTCCCCACAAAGGCGTTTCGTGTTTTCATAGTTAATCTTCCATTCAGCCATTGTGCTTTGATGTGCTCTGAAAGCAGAAGAAATTTACTCATCCACCCTTCAGGCTGCAGCAGCTGTGGCACTGCAGAGCAGCACAAAGGGACTGCTCTGTGGCCAGGGGATGGCAGAGACCTGCCTCCATTTGAGGCTGATAACTCATTC